TACTGGACCAACAACCACTACGACTACCACCATTCACAAACTGTTATAACTCCAAAACGTTTAATTTTCCAATTTTATTAAAAGTCAGTCATTTATACGACCAGTCGACTGGACTATACTGGACTATACGACCAGTCCAAGACCAGTCCAGCATGTTGTAAAAGGAGCCATAGAAAGTTGGTTACCAGGCAACCAAAAGTTAGTGGAAGAACATTTCAAAAGTAAACATTTTAGACGGGCGCCATTTTGTTTTCCAGAAACGCAGCAAAAGTGGTGGATTTTGACGAACTATGAAATAAATACTATTGTTTTCATGAACATGTCTCACAAAATGGATAGTTCGCTTCCTAAGCTACACATTTATGTAACTTTATCCAAGTTTTCACCTTTAATTCATCCTTAAGTCGTCGAGTGAAAGTCTAACTGCCATGATTTGACTTGTTGATCAGTCACAAACATATGACTGTTCCCATGAATCTATTCTGATGTGTTTGTCACTCAGTACCTTGGCCCCGGTGGTCGTTCATGTCGATGCTTTCTGAAACTTGATTGTCAATCGCTCCATGCTCAAAGTGCAGCTATCTCTGGCTCGGTCAAAGTCAGAGTGACGTCAGGCGGCGGCTGCGTCAGATACGTAAGAAGCATTGCTATGGAAATTACGCAGCTACGTCGGCTTTATATTATTTTCCAGCATGACTTTTGCCCATGCTTTTGCCACAGTCCTCTCATTGGTGGCTAAGCGAACACATGTTTTACTTACCTCCATATTATTTTCCATCAGGTTTCACTGCTTAATCCCAGCAGAGGCCGCGGGTCGAAGCTCCGTCAGATGTCAGAAATGTGGACAAATCAGCAACAATACTTTTAGATGAGACAGTCTAGTTACGCACACCTGCTGCAAAGTCAGATTAGTGCAAGAATTGTGTGTTTGAGTATTTCCAGATGAATATCTCCCCCATGTCCCACTCTTTACTGCCTCCTTACTGTGCAACAACCACTGCACTGATTTCTATGAGACATCTTCATCTGCTTCAACAGCAACGGAGCATCAGACACCTGCTTTACTCCGTCTTCCTTCATGAAACATACACTGCAGAAGTTCATTGTTGCTGAGGTCCACTTGAGTACGGCCGTGACCCATAATGCATTTGAGTCTGGGATAATCCTCACACATAGTGTCAGTAATGCTCCTGATAAGGCCTGTGTTCACTGAAGCAGCTCCTTCATCAGGATATTATAATAGATCCATGATCAGCTCCATTGACCTCAGAGTTTTATGCACGTAATAATTCTTAGTGAAATCCTAGGAACTAGCGCCCTCTCCTGGCGCTCTACCTTTAGTTTCTGCAGAATGCCTTTAATTCTTACCACAGTGGTTCTTACACAGAAATATACTATATTATTCTTATACTGCACTGAGGAAACCTGTCCGAGAATGTGCGTGAACAAAAACGTTAATTATTTCATGTGTGGCCATTCTAATGAAAGCTGGTCATATACATTGTTGTGATATATCTCATTTTTACACATTTCACCATGTTTTGGAGATTTTTAGCAGAAGTATAGTTTATTTAAATGTTAAACTGTTACGGTCTTCACAGAATGAGACAGAGGTTGTTAAAAACACTATATTCAGGGTTGTTTTTAACATAATAAGTGTCATTTTCATTGTGATAGTTGATCATGATCAGAGATGGGATATTCTGTCCGTGTTGATGAAATAATTATTTTTTAAACATCATTCAGTCAGGGTCAGGGCTGAACCAGACAGACCTCAGCAGTTTTCTGCTTGACTGGTCCTGACCACATACAGCTGCATCATCGGTACTTCTTCTTAAAATAACATATTTTACTGTTCAGATCAGATTCAGATTCATTTATTTGCCATTTGCAGTAAAACCACATTGGAAAAACTGTGCAAGACTACCCCGTTGTGCACCAGACAGAGAAGACGACACACACCAGAGCTCTTGCCACGGCGCCATCTTTACGGCGCCATGCGACAAACAGTAGAATAAACAGCAGAGAGCAATAACACGCAGTTTCACAGACAGTTGGATAGACACATTGTGCTTTGTATAAAGCACAGATTTTTTTCTCGGGATGAGCACCTCCGACAGCCGGCCAATGTGGCTGTCAGAGGGGGGCGGGGTCAGGGAGGGGGGTGAGTCGGAAACACAGTGAGGAGTGGAGGGGAGGGAGGGAGCAAGATGGATAGGTAGAGGGAGGCGGGGGAACGGGATCCGAGCTGGAGACTGAATAGTGTGAGTTGTTGTAGATGGGACCTTTGTTATTATGGCCTTGGCCGAGGAATGTGAGATAAGAGTGGAGAGAAGGCACAGGAGGAGAAAACACATCGCCTCAGGGGGACAATATTAAATGCAATGTAGCAGTTAAAAGCAGGCAGATATTCTATTAAATCCAATTAAACCGAATTGCGGCGCCCTCAGACCCCGTACACAGGGGCAAATCCAAGCCGGGTCAGAGAGTTCAAGCCTGGCAAACGATGTCATTCAATCTCAACTCCAGAGTTTTATTCCCTTCGAGTGAACAAGCTGCGAGATCTTTTATCAACTGTTCCACCAAAACCACTCTCCTTTGTCCAGACACGGCACTCTCAACCACGACGCGGCTAAGCTCCTTGTACATCCCATCAATTTTGTCGGCCAGCAGGTCGTGAATCTTGCGAACTGCCATGCCTCCGAATTTGTGGTAGAAGAGGATCGCTCCAAACCCAAACGGGAGGATTCCCACCACCAAAATGCCAAAGATATATACGTCTTCCGAATCTTCAATGGACAGGGTCGACAGACAGAGGGGCTGAAACTTGTTCCAGCTGTCAAGAGTATACCCCGCTGGTGAAGTCCCGTCCGGGCACACGGGCTCTCCAGACCCACGCTTACGTGTTGAAAAGATAGAATCAATTGTTAGCTTGTGTTGTAGCCGCTATCGTGCACATGGTAGAGTCAGAATTTGCTGGTGCTTTACACATGGAACTATTATATTGCATTAGCAGCACCATGTTAATTCCACCTACTTTGCAGGTAAAGTTGCTAGTCCCAGTGAAGAACCATGCAAACTTGCAAGGTATTTTGTTCTGTGCATTTGATCTATGTCTAATAATCATTACTTTATTTTTATCATTTATTTTTTGATTTTTACATTTATTTTTATCAGTACTATGTATGATGAGAAACTGATGTATGTGAACTATGTATGATGAGAAACTGATGTATGTGAACTATGTATGATGAGAAATGTACTGAACGTGTTAATGTATCATCTGAATGTGTGGTTGTAACATATGTATTGTGCAGGTGTGATGCTGTGAATGAGGTGTGGTTTTAACAAACAGGTATGAGGCTAAATGTGTGTGTCTGTATCAGAGAGAGTGCATTGTATTGCAAAGTTATTTTTTTGGATTGTATATTACTGTGTCTGTGTGTACATTTGATTCATGTAACCAGGGACTGCAGATGGAAACTAGCTGTTTAGCTTTAATCTGGTGCAGAACATATCTGCCATTGATCTTAATGTCTCTGTACATTGTCCCTTCAAAGACTTAAAGACTAAACTAACTAACTAACTTTCATTATGGTATTTGGGGTCTCAGAACCACAGATTTAAACGTTCCTATATTACTCATGCTCATTGTGATAGAGTGGGATACTCTGGTGTTTGCTGATCTGAGCACCTGCACTGTAAACGGGGCTCCGGTCAGAGAGAAGGGCATGGAGAAGGCTGCTACATCCAGATGGGGATCTTTATTGTGGATATGGAGGCAGTTACAGGTGGGAAAGGATAGTGTATGGGTGGATTATGGGTGGGTTAGCGTGTGTGGTCAGCGTGTGTGGTCAGTGTGTGTGGTCAGCGTGTGTGGTCAGCGTGTGTGGTCAGCGTGTGTGGTCAGCGTGTGTGGTCAGCGTGTGTGGTTAGCGTGTGTGATCAGCGTGTGTGGTCAGCGTGTGTGGTCAGCGTGTGTGGTCAGCGTGTGTGGTCAGCGTGTGTGGTCAGCGTGTGTGGTCAGCGTGTGGTTTCGGTCTCATGCACGCACACGTCTACTCACACAGGGGAACACAGCAGACTAACCAAAAGAGCAGAGGTGAAAGGGGGGGCAGGGGACCTCACTAGTGACGTCAAATGGTTAACAAAATAAAATGGCCAAACAAATAAGACTTTCTGACAATGCCGCCCCCAAATTTATCTCTAAATTTGAAGAAAAAAAAAAGTCTGATTTAGCTGGAGTCCTCTTTGTCTTCCCAGGCCGGCAACCGCACCAGACGCACGACTGGACGCAGGTAGGTCTGTCCTTTAATGTCCACTTCAGCAGCTCTGACTCATTCGTCTGAACCTGGACATGTCTTCACCACTCGTCCGATGGGCCAATGGGCTCACGGTAGCTGGGAATCGACAACCATCACCACTTGGCCAGCAGTGAGGTTGTCGGTGTCCTTGTGCCATTTGGAACGCTTCTGGAGGTCTGGAAGATGGCAACGAATGAAGTTGGACCAGAAATGGTCCGCCAAGATCTGACTATGACGCCAGCGTCTCCGGCTGAGTAGATCGCTGGATGCGTAGATGGCCTGCAGGAGCGATGCATCACGTCTTCCCATGAGAAGGAGGTTCGGTGTGACGGGGTCCGGGTCTGCAGCATCAGATGAGATGTACCCCAGAGGCTTTGCGTTGAGTAGTCCTTCGACTTCAATCAGGACTGTCTGCAGCACAGGGTCTGGAACAGTCTGGTCACGGAGTACAACCTGGAGAGCCGACCTGATCTCCCGCTCCCACGTTCCACCGAAGTGTGGGGAGCCAGGAGAGTTGAAACTCGATCTTCTGTCCTGCCAACTGTTCTTGCAGAGGGGCCTCCAGTGCAGCAAAACTAGCCTGCAGCTCAGCAGTGCCGCCTCTGAAGTTGGTTCCTCAGGCAGTTAGGAGGCAGTTACAGGTGGGAATGGACCATGTATGGGTGGATTATGGGTGGGGTGAGTTAGTGTGTGTGGTCAGCGTGTGAACTGAGCAGATTGTCCAGAGTACATCTTGAGAAGGGTGAAGTCTGATTCTTTACCGGAAGTGAAGTGGGGTAGTGCCGTTTTGGGAAAGCCGTATGATGTAGTGATTAGTAGCTCCATCAGATCTGTGCCAGATGCTCCTGTGAAGCTGGGGGTAGGTGCAGTGACATGCGGTGGTACGGGCTGCTGAGTGGGAAAAGGTATATTGTTTGTATCCTTTGGCACTGGCTGTAGATGTGGCGGCGGCACGTGTTGCACTCGAGCTTGGGGGAGTGGGACAGGAAACTGCACTTAGGATGGCAGTGGAGCAAAGTTTGGCGCTGAAATGGGGGGAGGAGGCATGGTGATGTAAGTAGATTGCATAGTCATACTTGTGGTAGCAGGGGCTTGGACTCGAGGCGCAGAAATTTGTGAAGGGTTATTTGAGACGGGGGGATAAACTGTTGTAGTAGTGACTGGGGATGGAGCAGGAAGGTAGGGAGTAGAATGGAGTAGACCAGGGGGGCCGTGTGAGTGTGGTGGTAGAGGCAGAGCTCCCTCAAAGAGCTTGTGGTTATACTCACAGTCACTCAGGGGCCTCGAGGTGCATGGGCTCGTAATCTCGTCCTCGGTCAGGAATGATGTGATTAGAGCCGCTCTCTCGACTTCCATCTCTTTCTCTTTCAGTCGGCGTTGCAGTATCTGTTGTTTGGAAATAGCTTCTTTTGCCTTGTGTGCCATCTCTTGCTCGTTAAGGGCGTCTCGTGCTTGTCTGTCCAGTAGTAGGCACTGTTTGTCAACCAAGGTCTGCTCCATGACTTGCCTCTGTGCTTCTGCTAGTTCCATACGCTTCATTCTCTCCTCCAACCTGGCACTCAGCAGCTCGGATAGCCCATCGACTGTTGAGCCCTTGGACAGTGAGCGAAATGAGGATTGGGATTTCCTGCTGTGGTGAGAAGACACTGAGATGGTTCCACCAGTTTGGGTACTGCAGCTGCTCCATGATCAGCTGTAGTGGTTGATGCAGGCAGGGTTATGACTGCAGAAGGGGTTGTAACTGAAGGTTGATATCCAACTTCATAGTTATCTAGATGCTGTGGTAGCCGTATCTCCCGCTGGGGTCTGGTTCGCACTGCTTCATCAGAATGCAGTTGTAGTGACTCCATGTTGTCTACAGGGGGTGTTCAAATCCGGCTCGAAGGACCATGTGATAGAGTGGGATACTCTGGTGTTTGCTGATCTGAGCACCTGCACTGTAAACGGGGCTCCGGTCAGAGAGAAGGGCACGGAGAAGGCTGCTACATCCAGATGGGGATCTTTATTGGGGATATGGAGGCAGTTACAGGTGGGAAAGGATAGTGTATGGGTGGATTATAGGTGGGTCAGCGTGTGTGGTCAGCATGTGTGGTCAGCGTGTGTGGTCAGCGTGTGTGGTCAGCGTGTGTGGTCAGCGTGTGTGGTTAGCGTGTGTGGTCAGCGTGTGTGGTCAGCGTGTGTGGTCAGCGTGTGTGGTCAGCGTGTGTGGTCAGCGTGTGTGGTTAGCGTGTGTGGTCAGCGTGTGTGGTCAGCGTGTGTGGTCAGCGTGTGGTTTTGGTCTCATGCACGCACACGTCTTCTCACACAGGGGAACACAGCAGACTAACCAAAAGAGCAGAGGTGAAAGGGGGGGCAGGGGACCTCACTAGTGACGTCAAATGGTTTACAAAATAAAATGGCCAAACAAATAAGACTTTCTGAC